ACCATCTAAGGAAAAGATTATCAAAAAGGAGTTTAGCTAGGACAACGGGGCTTTTCAAATTCTCACTTTCACTGAGTGAATTCCACATGGCAATGAAGTCCCTAATGATAATGACAGCCGTCCGTGGGAATCAGTCTCAAAGACGCCCACTTCATACCATTCTCCCCTAAAATAAAAAAGGAAGATGAGCCTTATTTTGCAACGTCAAGTTTCCAAAACTGGTCAATCACATTACGCTCGCTCACTCAATGAAAAACTTTAATGCGAAGCTATTTGCAAGTTTTAATCAGCTTGCTGATCGATGGTAATGTCAATCAACTTCCAATAGCTTATTCATTTCATGGCTATCGAGGATAAGAGTTATGAGCTGACCTTTGAGGGCAAATGAACGTAGTAACGAGCTCTCGGGTAAGCGCTGTTAGATCCATCGGTCCATAGCAAAACTTTGCCGTAACATTCAACTCATTGCCAGCAACGACCAGAACATCATTAGCTCGGTGATTCGGGGATAGGTTGGCTACCTAACTCAGTAAAGTATTTTTTCCCTCCAGGATGATTAAAGTAAAGTCCAACAACTCACTTTGAATCTAGTTCTTTTTCTCTTCCATTGCAGTGTGGGTAACTCTATCTTCAGCGGCAGATGAATCAAGCTTGCCGACAATGTCAAAGGCACAGTTTCTTCACTCCTGACGAATTGTCTCAAAACAAACGCTGCTGTATCCAGAGATTCCCAATAGGATGCATGGAGGATATTAGGCAAAGCTGATGATGGTAGCGCAACCATTGCTGAGATTAGATGGGTTTGAAGGGAACAACCGGAGATAGCGGAATGCATCTACCTGTAGGACAATACAAAACGTGATCCATGCGTTTGTTGCCCCATAAATGGGTGAGATCAACGGTTGAATCAAAGTAAAGTTGATGTCCGTCGCCTAGTGGATATCGCTGATATCTGAGAACGTTGGAAATCATTCAAAAACTCAAAAGTATACGCAAAAAAACGGAGCCTTACCTCGGCACGTCAGCTGGCTGCAAGACGCTAAGGTGTTGGTTTAGCACCGGCTCCAACCGCGATCCACATGGATCCAAAGAGTAATACAAATTGAAGAGTTGGCACGATTCCAACGGCTCTATATCTATAGGTAAACAGGGTTTTTTTTTGCTAATGAATAATGGACATCAAAGGAAAAAGCCTCTAACCATAACCAGCCAACTTCTTCTGCATTAAAACCAGTCCTAAAGGGCACCCGAGAAGGAAGATGGTAGA